TGTCTGTTACTTTCTCCAAGCATTCTGGCTACCCATTACATGCACTGAAGGACGTGATTGTCAGACTTTTATAATTGCAAGACATAAAATGCCTCTCTAATTTGGAATGAGGTTGTTTAAGCACCTACAGTAAACCGGTAGAGACGAACAACAACCAAAATAATTCTAGAAACAGCAATAAATCTTAATCAAATAGAGCAACCAAAACAGAATCATGTATGCATATTCAGTCACATAAAGATCAAAATCAAGTAAGCAATTAAACCTATAGGTGGAGTTTTGCTCTCCCATGTAAGCAAAAGTTAAGGTCGCAAACATAGCAATGCGGATTGGTCTCTATTTTGTCATAACAATGCAAGATATACATAAAAGGAATCGGCACCCTAAGAATCCTCTAATAGAGCATGCCTTCAAATACAATGGACCAAAGAAGTCAATATGAAAGATGCCCTAACCCCCAAAAATAATCACCAAAGATGCCCTAACCCCCAAAAATAATCAAACCCCAAAAGTCTGCAAAAGCTTGCAAGAAGAAAGAAGACGAGATGGACAGAACCCTAAACAGAATTACCTGGAAGGTTGAAGAAGACGACGATGGAGGCAGAATTGAAGGTTGAAGAATACGACATTGGAGGCAGGATTGAAGGTTGAAGAAGATGACGATGGAGCGATGGATTGAAGGGTGAGAGCGAAAGCGGTGGGGAGCGATTTTGCCTGAAATCGTTTAGGGTTTATGAAATTGAATTGGGTTAGGGCGATGAAATCGTTCCTGTTGGCGATGAAATCCGATTTCGGGAATTGGGTTTCTGTTGGAGATGAGATTGTTTGGCCATGAAATAGGATAGGGTTTTTGATTTGAACGGGTTTAGGGATTGCTTTAATAGGTTGTAACATTTGCAATAGAGGTTGTTTTTAAGAGTTTAAGAGATTAAGAGTTTAAGAGTTTTAGCCAAATGTATTATAAGATAGTATAGATACACATTCAGACACTATTTATTGCATAGCATGGTTTAGGGTTTGTTTACCACTTAACAATTCCATTAAAAGACAGCCTCTGAATCGTTAAGAGAAGAATCTTGTTTGGCAAAAAAAGGTCTGCCTCTTGATCGTTTTAAAATCCTCTGAATGATTTTGTATCATGGGCTTCCCTTAACCATTCAGCGTTCTAATTTTATTGTAAACAATTACTAAACAACTATATTTCATTTTACACTATATTATGAGAGTCTCTTAATCATTTTGCACCAAACTATTCAGCAACTATCAAACAACCTCTTACTGATTGTTAGCACGTTAAAAAAGAACACGTTAGATAAGTAGAAATGGTGTTCACGTTTCCACCTTCGGTTTGTATTAAAAAAACCCAACAATTTAAGTTCACCAGATAATTTATAGTCTAAATCGCTCAAAATGAAGCATACACTCCCTAACAACTGAATGGCAGTTGCTGAATCGTTTGATATAAAATGATTAAGTTGTCAGAATGATTAAAAGGCTCTCATGATATAATGCAAAATGAATATAATTGTTTGGTAATCCTTTACAATAAAATTAGAACGTTGAATGGTTAAACGAGACCCAGGATACAAAACCATTCAAGGGTTTTGTAACCATTAAGAGACGGACTTTTTTTTGCCAAATAAAATTCACCTGCTAATAAAACTATTAAGAGTAAACAAACAACCATAACTATTTGTATAGCTTAATTTCTTCCATTTTCAAACAGGAAAAATAAATAAAAAATTAAAGAATATATGTACAAGTATTCCAATAAATGCATGTAATTTCTTTTTCAATGATCCAACTATTGCTCCGGCCAGATAATGGTCGCCGGAATCACACCTGAGTCGCCGGAGATCATTTGATATCATTATTTTCCAACATCCAAAGCACCTGTTTCTCCACAAAAACACATAACCATCACCAAAAATCATCGTACGAAACAAGTAGGTTGGAAAATAAAGAACGAAATTAAGTAGGGCCGTCTGTTAGCATGTTAAATATGTTTTTTTTTAAACCACAAAGGTGGTGTCTGATTGGTTTGAGCTTGACTGCAAAGGTCAAAAATACCAGGAGGTCTCAAGTTCAAATCTAAGAGGAATAAAAATCCCCTTGTGGCCACGGAGGTTCAAATGCAGTGACTCCGGGCTATCTGCAAAGCAGGTGGTCGCCCTGGGATTAGTCGGCTCGCATAGCGGGTTGGATATCCAGGTTAATAAAAAAATATATATGAGTTTTTGAACATTAAGGCCTAATTTTACTTGTCTTTGAGGCCCGAGTTGTGAACACCTCGGTGAAGACCTATCTAATTTCTTTCGAAATTAAAAACGGCTATTAAATGTCGGAATTTGCTGATAAGAAACAAAAACAACTGTTCGATATTCTTCTCACTTTGACATTTTAAACACTTTTGTTGTTTTAATCTGTAAGATTTTTTTAATATGACGTGAACTTTTATATTTTAATTTGTTTATTACTACTTATTTCAGATGATCTATAGTTTAGTAGGGGTAACAGATGTAACAGGGTCTCCAAAAAGATGGGAATGACCATGTTTTTTTGTAACTAAGTTTTTTTTTTTAAATTATACCTATTTTGACCGGTAACATACCGATCGTTTAAAAGTTGATGCCGTAAATGCATCCACGTCAACAGATGTTACAAGATAAATAGGCTACCGGGTCAAAATGGATACAAGTTGTAAAACTCTGTTGCATCGGTTGAGAGAATCTTTTGTTGCATTAAATAGGAATTAAACCAAACTTTGTTGCATTTTGTCCTTAAAAAAACGACATGAGGTTTAACTGTTTAAGGTTTGTACCTGAGACATTCGAGGTCGTGAGTGTGGGTCCCGACGGATGCACAACGATGCACAATGTGACATGCATCGCACCTCCGGTTCCGAGTAACTTTGTTTAAGCCGCGGGTCCATCAACTCGGCGATGGCAGTCTCTTCGAGCAATGGCCGAGCCTGTCGATCAAAATATGCAACAATGAGGGGCTAAAAAACACGAAAAACGAAACCGAGAGTTCCAAAACTCATACCCATTCGGTAAGGTATTGTTGGCCCTTTGGTCGGTTTATATCAACGGCTTTTCGTCCAGTAATGAGCTCAACCAACACGACCCCGAAAGAATAGACATCGGCCTTTTCGGTAATTTCGCCACTCTGAGCGTATTCCGGAGCCAAATACCTAAAAAACTGAAACATGTTAGAAAACGACACAACTGAACCATAAAAAATGGCGTAATCTAACGGATATGAGCTCGGTTTAGACTGTACATTGAACTTAACTATCATATCTGAGCTTGCTTTTGATAAGCTAACCATTAGCTGAAAAGCTAGTTGTTGGTCGATAAACTAGTCATGTTTGATAAAAACTAGATAAAAAGTCGAAGGACAATGTAAAATGATTTAAAATGATACGTTAAAAAATTAATTGAAAAAAAATATATCGGACATAATTGGAAGAAAAAGTGAAAAAACTCGTAAGCTAATGGAAACGCTACCAAACGAGACATTCATTAAGCTACAAAATAAGAGTTCGGTTATAGTTGTCAAACAAGGCCTATGTCTATTACCCGAAAGTTCCAATTATTCTCGTTTCCACACCAGTTTCGCCGTCCGGTTGCCACCTCGCAAGCCCAAAATCTCCGACCTGTTTTTCAGAACGAGATCGTGTTTTAAGGTTGACTTCAAAAGTCAAAAAATGTGTATGTAACATTGATGCATACCAAAGCTTCAAAATCATGAGTTAGAAGAATGTTGTTTGGCCGCATATCACGATGAACGATACAACCGACTCGACATTCTTCGTGAAGATATCGTAGCCCTCGAGCAGCTCCAACTGCGATCTTTTGTCTCGCGGACCACTCCAACGGCCCATGATCGTGCCCTGCAAATTGAAAATACACCCTCAATCAGTATTTGTTAGAGCCCCACATCGGTTAGACTTGGACATTTTCTCTTTAATATATGTTGGAAGTTGGAACCCCTTTCCTCCTTGAGGGCTCTTTCGGACAGTAATTTGGGGATTCCACATTTTACATGGTATCAAAGCCAGTCTGATCGATGTGGGACCATCTAAGCTCTTGATGGAGGGTTAGAGTCCCACATCGATTAGACTTGTCACACTTCTCCATGGTTTATGTTGGAACCCCCCTTCCTCTTTTTGGAGAGCGGTTCCACGTATTCTTTCAGTATCAACAATCATAGATTACTTGTTAGAAATTGATAGATTTGTACCGTAAAGATGAGAATCTAAAGAACTGTTGCAGATATACTCGTAAACAAGCAACCGTCGGCCATCCTCCACGCAAAATCCGATCAGCATCACAACATTTCGATGCTGTGCGCAGCTTAAAACCTCAACTTCAGAGAAAAACTCGTTATCGCCTTGAGAACTAGCCATCTTATGCTGTTTGACAGCAACCATTCGACCATCTTTCAGAACCCCTCGGTGCACCGATCCAAACCCGCCTTCCGCCAAGAAATTAGCTTTAGAAAACCCGTCTGTAGCATCTTCAAGCTCGCAAAACGTGAACCATTTCGGAGGTTTTCCAAAAACGGGCGCTTTATGCTGACAGATTGAACAAAGTGGCGGCGGTTTAGGCGGCACGTGTCTCCTTAACGGGATCGTCTCCCTCACATTCTTGGTTGCCTTTTCGAGTCTATGGTCAAGCTCGGAGAACTTTAAACGGAGTGCATCCGTGATTGGATTGATCAAAGCTCGTTCATTTAACAATTTCGGACTTCTTTCCATCTTCGAGAATTCCCCGGAAGAACTAAAAGCATCCGCCATCCATGGAGAACATAAGCTTGTTGATGGGGATGAACTCAGATTCTCACTATCGGTATCGGAATCAGACTCATCAAGAAACTCATCTTTTTTCACATCCCAATCATGATCCGCTACCAAAAACGGAGAAAACCCAAGATCTAAGCTCGATAACGAAGAAGTTCCGTGTTCCGTTGTGGAAAACAACGAATGTTCGGGACTGCTTACGGGGGTCACATTTGGAACTTTAGTTGCATTCCAAATACTTTCTTCTTCTTTGGAACTCTCTGCAGGTGCTTCTAAACAAGAACTTAAACCTTCGCCGACTTCTTTTGTTGGTGATCCAACCAAATTGAGCCGGAGAACTTTCGGCCGCGACTTTTTCATCACAACCACATTGCATTCTAACTCCTCGATGCATACTTTCGCCTCTTTTTTCAGTTTCCTGTGTCCGGAAATCAACAAATTGTATATAATTTATCAAAATAGAAAAACATATACGTTCTGGCGATTATAAGCTAGCTTTTTTTTTGAGCTTATTGAAAAAGCCTCGTTTGGTTGAACACAAGCCAGCCTTTTGAAATGTGGTTTAAAGTAGCATTTTAATAGCCTTTTGAAAAAGCCTCGTTTGGTTGGAGACTAAAAAGTGAAATTAGCTGGGGAGATAGGTTATTTTGGTATTTTCTTATATTTTTCCAATTAACTGTTCAACGCGTCCTTTTAGGTCATTTTTATATTGTCGTGTAGCTTATCAATTAGTTTTTACCGAACATGAATAGTTTATAAGTTGGTTTATCAGCTAACAGCTAGCTCATCAGCCAGTTTGCCAAGCATAGGCTCGATATTGATTTGATATACGTGGTTACCTATCCAAAACAACCCATTGTGTTTGGGTTTTCTTTGCTTCAGCAGCCACCACTCCACACGTGGTGCCGGAAACGACTTTGATCTTCATCTTTATCTATCAAAAACCATCAAATTTGGTAAGATGAATTTCAAAAAGAGCAAGAAAACACAGTGCAATGAGACTTGCCTTATCTGAGTCGTAAATATTATGGAGTTGAAGCATCATCTGAGAGCACGATTCGGTGATATAGTCCTTCTGATCCCTAACATCACCCGAAAGAGATTTCCATTGCCCTGTGGTGCAATCGCTGTTGAATTTCGAGAAATTCCATAACTTATGACCTGAAGTAAATCAACAACAGATTTAGTTCGTAGATTTTGGTTCTTAAGAACGAACCCGTTTTCTTGGTCAAGAAAAACACCCTGAATTTCCATTTTGGTTGGGAATCAACCACAAAGATCCGAATTTATATGCAGAAAACATGAAGCTCAGCCAAAAAATTTATAAAAACTGAATCTAACATGCATGCTACAGAAACAATTTACATCAAGAAACTCGTATTTAGTCTTCCACATTTGAATCAAACTTGATGATGAACATCAATGGCACCTAAACTCAAAGATTGACCATCATAACCACTTTGGTTGTGACGCACTAACCGTCATAACCACTTTGGTTGTGACGCACTTACAGTCATAACCACTTTGGTTGTGACGCACTTACAGTCATAACCACTTTGGTTGTGACGCACTTACAGTCATAACCACTTTGGTTGTGACGCATTTACAGTCATAACCACTTTGGTTGTGACGCACTGGTTAAGGCCCAAGGGATGTAGTGGAAATCTCATCTTTGCTTAGTTCAAATCCTGGAGCTGCTAAAGCCCTTTTGGCCAGGTTCACCTGTGATGACTACGGCCATTCGTGGTGGGGAGTGATTAGTCGGAAGCCAGCCTGGATAACCATGGTTACCAAAAAGAAGATGGAACATCATGCATCAATGCTATTTGCTTGCATTTTGCAAAGAGGCACAAAAACATTGAAGATTATGATTCACAGTCATTATGGGAATTCAAGAATCAGTATGCTAGATGAACTTGATGAATAAAAACAGATATTAGCTTGCAAAAGTGAGAGAAGAAAAAAAGCTTCTGAAGAAGGTTTCAAACTGGAATATGGATATGAAGCATCACAACTACTCATAGATTTGAAGACTGATAAACACCTAAATCAAAAGTCAAACAAGACCAAAGAAAACTTCTGAACCCTAAATTGAAAAAACACATATTGTAACACATAAATGAGCTTAAATGGATTACTTGAGGTGTGAGCAGGGATGACCACCAGCAGTTTAGCACAATCCCCAGGTTGAACAACATGAGCTAAAGCCCAAATCAAAGCATTTCTTGAAATTTCTTTGGATGCTTTCACAGCAATAAGCACAACTTTCTCTCCTACATGATCTAACCCACCTCTAACTGTACCACTCTTTTGCCTCTTCATCATTTTCCAAGAATGTAAACAAAGAAAACTATCAAAAAACTAGTTACCCTTTCAATCTCTGTGCCGAAAAACAGCAAGAAACACCCAAAAAGAAAGAACCCAAAATTTCCCCATTTGAGCAAATCATCGAACACCTACAACGCATTCCATTTGAAGAAGTTCTAAAACAATAAAACGTAGTAACTTTTTCCCAAATCAGAGCCCAAAAGGTATCATGAGTACTTTTGGACTAAGATTCACAAGAAACGCATGATGGGGAAAGAGAAGGATCAAAAGAAAACAAAGTGGGGATGAAGAAAGCCTGCAAAAAAGGGAATCGGGTCACATTATTTGGACAACAGGGTTTCTTTTACAGAGAGATGTTGTAAAAACAACAAAAAAGAAGAAGAACCAAAAGGAAAGGATCAATTTCAGAAGGGTATCATAAAATGGAAGTGAAGTGAGCAAAAGAAAACAAAAACCTGAAGGGACATGATGGTTAAAGTAATGACAATGGTGTCCTCCTTTTCTGAATAGCAACAAAATTATTGAGTCAATGATGGAATTGGAACACTCTCTCTCTCTCTCTTTGATTGCTACAGTTTTATAAGTTGTTTAAGACACATTTAATGAGACCCCATTCCCCAGAAACAAGAGATAATTGGAGAAATATGTTCACTTTTCCCTTAATGCTTAACCAAATAATACTGAATTGGATACTACATCATTGGTTATATCAATAGTTACCTAAGTATTTAAATATTTAAATTTTACATTTTAGATACCAAAATAAAAGTTATAAAAGTACGTTATCGAAAATATAAATCAAGTTAAAGTATGTTACTTTATTCATGCAATTTGTCCTATTAATTTTGGCTATTTACATAAAATTCTCATTATATTCATATCTCCTCTTATATATGACTGATATATAAGTAAAAACTTATATAAATCTGAGTGATTACTGATATGTAAGTAAACCGAAGGTATGAAATGTGAGCGATATGAATAGGAAATCCTTGAGTTTAATTTGATACGCGCTCTGATTTAACAAAAAAAATGTTACAGACTATTAGTAGGGCTATTGCATGTATCGTTATAGGTTGCAAGTTTAAATTCACGTGCCTCTTTTTCAATTTTTTTATAAGAACAACAGGAGAGAGAAAAAAAATCAAAAATCACGGACCCATGAATTTTTGAATATAGTGGCACCATATAAAACGGTTGCACCTTCTATAATAGAACGGTTATACCTTTCACGAACGTATTTTTTTTTTACCTTACCACGGAGGAACAATACGGTGGCACGTGCCACCTAACCACCCCTCTAGGTCCGTCTATGTCATGTTATAGTTTGCAATATGTAAATGGGCAAATTGCATGAAAAAGTATCGTATTTTAACTTGATTTCTATTTTTGGGTAACGTACTTTCAAAGCTTCCAGTTTGATACATAAAATGTAAGTTTTAAACATTTAAGTATTCGAATAACCGGTTTAAGCATTAACCGGTTATCATGTTGATGTGGTTAATGACATGAATTTTTTTAATCTAAAATTAGTCTTTTTTTTTATCTAAAATTAATGTTCAACTGATTACTCAGATACTTAAATATTTAAAACTTTACATATTAAATACCAAAATGAAATAATTCATTAAAGAAATATTACCACTTTCTTCTTTCACACACACATATTTACAACATTGCATCATACAAATAATTCCAAAGCATATGATTGATTTGTTTAATTATTGCATTAATTGCAATAATTTCAAGAATTCTTTTATTATTATTATTATTATTATTATTATTATTTATTATTCAACCCCTCTGTTTTAGTTGACATATTACTTGCTTTTAAAGTCTTATGTAACATGTGCAATTTAATGACTTTAATACCTTGGATCCCATTTTGATTTCTTTTGATTAATATATTTATTAAACATTTAATTTATTTTTTTCAAATTTAATATTTGGTCTACATATGATCTCATAAATGTAACATTTATTAATATTAAATATATAATCCAAAAAAACATAGTATTTTGTGATGATCAAGTACATAAAAACCCATAGAATTTAAATTGAAACATTCAGTAAAGTTGTATTTGAATAAAAGTTGATTACTGACAAATCTAGCCGGTTGCATATAGAACCCTTTTTAAAAACAATAATGTGAGATTATTTTTGGACAAAAAGTTGATTACTGAAGATTCCAGCAAGTTGTATACAGAACTCGTTTCCAAAAACAGTAATGTGAGATTATTTTTGGACAAAAAGTTGATTACTGACAATTTCAATCGGTTGCATATAAAACCCATTTCCAAAAACAATAATGTGAGACTATTTTTGGATAAAAAGTTGATTACGGACAATTCCAATCGGTTGCGTGCATAACCCATTTCCAAAAACAGTAATGTGAGACTATTTCTGGATAAAAAGTTGATTACTGTTAATTCCAACCGGTTGCATACAGAACCCGTTTCCAAAAACAGTAATGTGAGACTATTTTTGGACAAAAAGTTGGCTACTTACAATTCTAACCGATCGCATACAAAACTTGTTTCCAAAAACAGTAATGTGAGACTATTTTTAGACAAAAAGTTGATTACTGATAATTTCAACCTGTTGCATACATAACCCATTTCCAAAAACAATAATGTGAGACTATTTTTTGATAAAAAGTTAATTACTGACAATTCTAACTGGTTGCATACAAAACCCGTTTTCAAAAACAGTAATGTGAGACTATTTTTTTACAAAAAGTTGATTACTACAATTCCAACATATTGCATACAGAATCCGTTTCCAAAAACAGTAATGTGAGACTATTTTTGGACAAAAAAGTTGATTATTGACAATTTCAACCGGCTGCATACAGAACCCGTTTCCAAAAACAGTAATGTAAGACTATTTTTTGACTCGTTCAACAATTGAGGTTAACAGGAGACAAAGATCTGAGATCAAACCCAGTCCATATCTCGTATTTGAATAAAGCCAATAAAACTGTATTATTTTTCTTTTGAAACTAAAATGTCAAAAACGGAACTTGATGATTTAATTTTAAAATTTTATATAAAATTACACAAACAAATTAAATACAATAAAAAAAAATAAGGAGTCAAATTTGTAACACATTTTATAACACCATTATGATAACTCGTACCACGAGTATCATGAAAAATCATATAAGAAATTATTATTAATTTTTTTAAAAGTATATAATATTTATATACAATAAAATAAAATAAATAAACTCACACAACTTCTTCATATTTGGTAAGATTTAAACTATTGACTTTCTAGGAAGTTAAAGACTCAGAGGCTGTTTGACAGTTGCTGAATGATTTAGTGGATAATGATTAAGAGTCTCTCATGATATAGTGCAAAATAAAATATAATTATTTACAACAAAATTATGACACTGAATGGTTTAGAGAGGCCCAAGATATAAAATTATTCAGAAGGTTTTAGAACTATTAAGAGACAAACTTTTTTTTTTACAAACAAGATTCGCCTCTTAATGATTCAGAGGTTGCCTATTAATGAAACTATTAAGAGTTAAACAAACAACTCATCACATACTGATTAGATCAAAGACCTTTGGTGAAATTATTATTTTAATAAACATATAAAAATATAATTTTAAACAATCATTTAAATTAATTAATATATCTCAAATTTTCAAAATCCTTTGGGATGTGGATATGTAAAAGTGACATCTAATCTAATAATTTAAATATAATCCAAAAAACCAAAATGTGACAACAATGAAAATGAAATAAATCAATGCACAAAAGGTGATACCAAATTCAATTATTTTAAAGAAAAAAATTCTATTTAAAAAAAAAATCGGGTGGGTTTGTAATCCTCGGCCCCGGCCCTGATTCTTAGTAATAACCCCCGGCTCCGGTCCCTGGCGGGGACGGGATGTCAAACTCCGGTCAAACCCCATGAAAAGTATTTGTTAGTTTGAGTAACATTCCCCGGCTCCGATTTGAATCTACCGGGGATCCCCGGCTCTGGGGCCCGTTTTAGCGGAGAATCTCCGTTCTCATTCGGATCGGGGTGAGCCTGTGTTTCTTCTATGTATGATAGTTTGTTAGGGCAACCTGGATAGAGATGTTGTTTGCATATATAATAAAAAGACATTTTTGAAATATAATTACTTCACACACAAACTGTAATTCCAAATTAAATTTTAACTAATTTTCTAAATTTTGAAAAAATATACGACAACTTTGTATTACCCTTCATTTCTGAGTTCTTTAATTAGAACCTAGTCAAAGGGTGTTATGGTCAATTTACTGTAACTCAATAATTTTTTCAGATAAGGTTGATATAAGTGACAGTAATTTATCATTTATATACACACACACACACATATATATATATATATATATATATAGAGAGAGAGAGAGAGAGGAGTGATCATATGAAAACCGCTCTCATTTGTGTAAATCATGCAAACCACCTTCATCTGTCGATTTCATTGTTTAATCTTATGAATTTTTTTTCATGAAATTGTTTAATCTTGTGAAATTGTTTCATATAATACTTTTTTTGATGAAGTTGTTTCATATATGGTTGTGAAATTGTTTCATATAATACTTAATGAAACTGTTTCATGTATTTCTCTAACATTAATGAAACTGTTTCATGTATTTCTCTAAAATTAAAATAATGAAGATGATAATATCTATGATTAACACCCTCCACAATAAAAATGATTAATCAACCTCTCATAATTACAAAAAAAATGAACAAAATGAAAAATTATGATTGATTGAATGCGGTTTGCACGGTTTGTACAAATTGAGTGGTTTGCATTTGATCGCTCCCCTATATAAGTTCATTTTTTTTTTTGTAATTATGAGAGGTTGATTAATCATTTTTATTGTGGAGGGTGTTAATCATAGATATTATCATCTTCATTATTTTAATTTTAGAGAAATACATGAAACAGTTTCATTAATGTTAGAGAAATACATGAAACAGTTTCATTAAGTATTATATGAAACAATTTCACAACCATATATGAAACAACTTCATCAAAAAAAATATTATATGAAACAATTTCACAAGATTAAACAATTTCATGAAATTTTTTTCATAAGATTAAACAATGAAATCGATAGATGAAGGTGGTTTGCACGGTTTACACAAATGATGGCGGTTTTCATATGATCACTCCTCTCTCTTTCTCTCTCTCTCTCTCTATATATATATATATATATATATATATTAGAAAGGTACTTGTTAGGACTGAGAAACGTGCAATGCAACGAGATATATATCAATTTTAATGTTTTGTTTTATTTATTTTGTCTATATCAATGTTATAATACGACTTTATGTGGTTTTGAGCAAACAATAATGTTTTTTTAATAAAATATAAATTTGAAGATATCATAAACATTCAAAAATATATATAAAAGTTCTCATTTTTTGCAATTTCTTTAATTTAGTTTTTTTTATTATAATGTAAATTAGCTTTAATAACGAAGTAATTGATTTTTAGTTTATTATATT